GCAACCTGCACAGCACCCTGTGAAAATTAATAATGAGGGGAAACCTGGTCAACTACAAAATAGGCAACTTTTCTGTGAAGTTGACATCTTGGCGGAGAAACAAACTTACAGGGACCAGCCTGGCCCAAGGGCTGGAGCCCTGTGTCCTCCCAACGCGGCGTTTTTCACACTCTCCTGCTCTCTCCCTCCAGCTTACGTTCAGCTCAATATTTGGGAGGCTGAATGCAGCCCCTGCAGAATGCACGGAGGGTTTAAGCTGTCTTTATCAAGAAACATAGCGGTAGTTACTTGTCAAAGCTGTCGTTAAACTCCAGCAGTAATAATCAAACATACCCAGACAAAAAGATTGAGCTCTGTAACTCCGAGACTGATGTATGCAAAGGAAAAATGAATGCTAGAAACTTGGCTATAAAACCATGTTTTTATCTTAGTCAGCTGAGCCATTAAATAGGAAGAAAAGGCATCCTTGTTTGCGTGCCAGGAGTGGCTGATCTATTTGTCTCTGGTGTCAGCACTACAGTTTGTTGGTGTAAGTTTTCTAGTTATGTGTAACATCCAAAGGGATGTTAAATATCAAAACCCAAATGAAAGGCACACTGTGCAGCTCTTGCAAAGCCTCCTCTTCCATCATCTCCCAAGCCTCGTGGAGAACTTAAGGTGAAGAATTGCCTGCAAAAGCTGAATCATATCTTTAAGCAAAAACATTGCTATTAGGTGACTAAGACCTAAACAATTGTCTTCCTTTATTTATTGCAACCGATGCTGTTATTAAAAACCCGACGAGTCCCTTCCCAGCCCCTCGTGCTATCGGGTCTGCATGAACTGGTGAAACATGGCAAAAGGCAGGTTGTAAATAGAGGGGACACTTTGGGCAGGGTCCAAAACATGGGGAAGGTGCTTTGTGCTCCTGGGAGCATCCCCGCTGGGGACCTGGCAGAACCCCGTGGTTGGCAGAGGGTGCTTGTGACATCTATGTGGTCATCTATCCTTAAAATAAGACAAGTGGCTGCATGATGGCGCAGGGAATTCCTCGGGAAAGAGGCCATTGTGTGAGGAAAATCACCTGCTGATGGGTGGGCTGCACAAACAGGATCCAGCATGTCTCTGGGGCAGGAGTCGAGTGAAGGTCTCAAATCCTGCCTGTGGGCTTTTGGGAAGAGCCTGGGAGGGGGGAGGAACTGTGGTGAGGATGGAGAGGGGGTGTCCACCCTGCAGGGAAGGACAGAGTGGGGCATGGAGCGAGTGCCTGGACACCGAGGGCAGGCAGAACTCGGGCTTCTCTATTGGAGAAACCAATTTTGGTTGGTTTTCTCCAATAAACCCCATCCCCCCTGCACCATCTCCTGAGAACGGTGCGTCATCCAGAGCCTTCGCATTTTCACGAAGCGGAGTCGAGCAGAACTGAAACAAGCCGGGCTCTGCTCCCCCCTTCCAAATGTTCTCAGCGTCGGGAGGGAAGCCAGGAGCCTTTAAAAGACATTTTAAGGAGCTGTTGGGTATGGCTGCTCCCCTGCAGCACACTGCACCGTGGCTGCCCGCCCCACAGCATCAGCTCCGGGCTTGTCCTGCCCCACAGCATCTCCCACTGCCCTCCTCTGCTTTTATCTTTGGATATCACAGGAGTTCAGGGCCCTGTCCTCTCTGAAAAATCAAGCCCGAGCATCCTTCAGTCTAAACACTCACTGTTCGTATGGTAGATGAAGTTGTCTACAGCATTATAGGTACACCCCTGCTCCAGTTATGAGATTTGCTTGGATGTAAAATTTAAGGAAAATGTGAACACATCTTAGATAAAGCAAATTATAGCTCAGGAAAACCTGCTTTCCCAGTTGGTTCCCTAATTTGCACCCACAAGATGTTTCAGGGTTTAAGTGAAATTGGAGGAACAGCACTCCTTTCCCCAGACTGGCCTGACTTCAGTCGCTCCAGGGATGCCAAATTCATCCTTCTCCTGGAAAGTGGGAGTGAGTGGGAGCTCTGGGAGCGAGGTTTTTGCTGATTGTGCTTGACTTTACCCATCTGAAAAGCAAGATAAGGTCATACATAAGTGGCTGTGAGCTACGTTTGCCTGGAGCCTGGGTTTCAAAGGCGATGGAGGGATCACCCCCAGGCAAACTGCCCGAAACCGAGAGGGTTTGTGACACTCCACATCAGTTATTTTGCTCTTCAGCAGTCACTTCATGTCTCTTCCTCCTCAGCTTTCCCCCGCAGGACTCAGCCAGGCTCTTCAGACAAACAAAACCCTGCCTCCGAGAGCTGCCCGCGCCCCGGCTGCGGTTGTATAGTGTTAAACTTATATATGTGATAACAGGAGGCTGTTTGAAGTTCCTGCTGCCACCACAAAGCAGTGCTGAAGAAATGACTTCAGACGTGCTGCAAGCACCACGCTGTGCGTAATTGCAACAGGGATGATACACATGTGGGTTTTATTATTATTCTAAAAACGCACAATTGGGAAAGACAATATTTTTAGTGGAAGTGGTTCCAAATGCTAGTATTTATTTGCTTATTAAATGGTTTAGCTGGAGACGGAGCATCTTCAAAGGAGGAATTTTTTTCCCAGATTGGATATCTAGGGCTATAGTGCTATATTATTATACATGAAAAATATTTCTGTATTAGCTTTTTGTTTCGGAGAACACATTTAACTGACATTTCCCATGCTGACAGCTTGCCAAGCTTCAAAGCACGACTTCTGCAAGGACTACAACGATTGTGAGGTTGGTCCAGATGAAGCTGTAGCCCAGCTGACACACAAGCCCTGTGCAAGGAGTTTTTTTCCCTTTTCGGAGAGCCTAAAGCCAAGGTCTGCACTGGAACACATGTGCTGTGTATGTTTGAACCATCTTTCAGAGGGGCATGATGCATTTCCAAGCTGTGACTACATTTTGGGGACCTGGTTTCTTCTGTAATTCCAGCTACTCCCTACATCAATGCAGATTTCCCAACACACGTGGCAAAGATCTCCCCCCAATGCTGCAGAGCCAGGGACAAGCACTGGGAGAGCTGAGGGGCTCAGCCAGAGCTGGGGGATTTGCCCTTGGTCAGAAATCAAAGCTATTCTTCATCTCTCCGGGATGTTTGGATGATACAGGGTCCCCAGAGGATGCTCCAGTGAGGATTGCAATGGTCAGAGCATCTCACCCTGGGAGAGATCACAGCAACACTGCCTTTTCCTTGCACCCTTTCACCCAAGGATGCAGGAACAGAAATCTCCAGTGAGGATTGCAATGGTCAGAGCATCTCACCCTGGGAGAGATCACAGCAACACTGCCTTTTCCTTGCACCCTTTCACCCAAGGATGCAGGAACAGAAATGCACCCTTACTTGTGAGAAATCTTGTTAAAATAAAAAAAAAAAATTACTCTCTCTCTGCTCTCACACAGAGGCTGGAGTTCCCATGCTCGTGCTGATGAAGGCTGACACCTCCCACCACAATTTGCCCATCAAACAGCATCACTGCCATCACCCACCCCTCTCCACCTGCCCTCCCCAGGGGCTGGTGAGGACCTGCAAAGCCCTTCTCCCCCCCTCAGTGCTCCACAGGCCCCTCGGCTTGCAGACCCGCTGCCAAACCCAACTCTCTCCCCTGCTGACACCTCCATCCTGTTTGTGGTGTCTTTGGCACTCCCCCCTCCAGCATTTCCAGGCCCCCGCGGCTCCCCGGCCCCCTCAGCTCCAGCGCAGCCCCCGGCTCTGCCAACAGTAACACGCGGAGGATCCGGCGCAGCCGAGGCCACCGCCAAAGGGGTGTCCAGGGGTAGATCATCCCAGCTCTTCACCAGGACACGGCAACCACGACAAACCCATAAATCCGTACGGTCATTTAAAACCACAGAGTGACGTGCTGCCAAGAAAGCAAAGGAGCATCATCACAGCTCGTTGGGGTTCACATCCCCGCTTCACTAAATGGATCCTGGAGGGGCAAGAGTTGGGGGACAGACCAAAACGTCCCCAGCCTCCTGGCCACAGGCCCTCCAGCTGAGCACCGTCAGCTCCCCCAGCACTCCCCTCCTTCGTGCCTTGGTCCCAGGGGCCCACTGAAAACACGCCTGGTCTAAATGATGCCCTGGGCTTCCCTGGCTCTGGGGGAGAGCTAAGTGAGGTGCCTGGCTGGGAGTGGGGTCACGGTCCTGCAGCTCCAGTCCCAGCCCAGGGAAAACTTCTCTGTACCCCTTTCCCTGCTCCCTGTGTGCTGGAGACCAGTCTTTTTCCAGTGGTGCCCAGTGACGGGAAAAGAGGTCACGGGCACAGACTTGAACATAGGAAATTCCATCTAAACATGAGGAGGAACTTCTTTCCTGTGAGGGTGGCAGAGCCTGCCCAGAGAGGTTGTGGAGTCTCCTTCTCTGGAGACATTCAAAACACACCTGGACATGTTCCTGTGCAACCTGCTCTGAGTGGATCTCCTCTGGCAGGGGGTTGGACTGGATGATCTCCAGAAGTCCCTTCAAACCTCATATCCTTCTGTGATTCTGTGAAACTGCCTGGACCAGCACTGCCCACCACCTTTGGGCATCCTCCACATCCACAAGGACCCCACACGAGGCAAATCCACACATTCAGGCACCGAACCTCCATCTCGGGAGATGCAGAGTGCTCAGCACAGGGGTGAACTGCCCTGGATGGGGGAAACAACACCAAAACAGCACAGCTGGAAAAAACCCACCGCCAGCCCCAGCACAGCTTCACAACGGTACCCAAGGACCCCTTTTACCGGTGAGCTCTAGCAGTTGCTTTGCTTCTTTATTTCTCAGCCCCCTGAGTGTCAGAAATCAATAAAGGGAAAGGCTAGAGTTTTGTTTGCTTTGTGTTTTACGCCGCTGCAACACGATCGTTCCCCAGGATCATCTTTCCTCCCCAAGGCAGGTGAGGTGGAAGTCACTGCCCCTGGGTACCGGGCAGTAACTGGATCCTGCAGACCCAGATACAGCCTCTGCCGGGGAGGAACAGCCTCCGACATTAACCCAGACCCTGCTGTGGGGAGAAGTCCCACCACCATGCAGGTAAGTGCTCTGGTTCAAGGGTTTTGCTTTGGCTTCTTACCCTGCCTGCTCTCATACAGCTTTGTCAGGCCAAGCACCAAAGGCTCTCCTTCGAGGACACATATTAACACTACAGGTCCTCGTTAGCATCTCAGGCTTTCAGTAACAGCTTAAAAACAGTCAGAAAATATTAATAGTGAGCTATTCCTCAGTATTTCCACGCATGGGTGTGCGGAAAGGAACCTTCTAAACTACAGTGTAGTAATGTCCTCCTCAGCTTGGGATCTCGCTGTGCCACCGGGAGCAGAGCTGCTTAAATTTCTAGGAGGCTCTAATACACTAACAATACAAAGACCACAGTCTAAAAGTCATGATTGTTTTCCATGAATATATTACAAAATGAAGGAAAACCTTTCCGTTCTAGTAGCAAGAGAATTCACTGTCCGTGTCTTCTCTTCTCCAGCTGACCCCCTGCAGGCTCCGGACTCACCAGTGGTGCTTCATCCTCTTTAATGTCTTGCTTTTCCACATGCTGCTTTTTGGAGCGGATTTACTGGAGGAATACTTCCTGCGGTCATTACCGCTTTCTTACACCGATGCAAAGGCTCTCGACATCAGGGAGAGGGCCAGGAAGCTGGATATGGATCCTCTGAAGGCCAATCTCTCTTTCGCCGTCAGCAGCGCAGCAACGTGCTCCGATAAAGAGATCTTTTTACTCATTCTTGTCTGCAGCAGCCCAGAAAACAGGACAAGGCGCGAGGTGATCAGGCAGACATGGGGCAACGCGACAGACGCCGGCGGTTCCGCCGTCCTTACCCGGTTTGCTTTAGGGAAGCCGGCGGCGGTGACCACCCAGCTGGAGATCGATGAAGAGTCTCAAAAGCACAGAGACATCATCCAAGGCAGTTTCATCGATTCTCCCGAGACGGAGACCCAGAAGGTGGTGATGAGCGTGGAGTGGGCAGTGACTTTCTGTCCCCAGGCAAGGTATATTCTCAAAGCAGACGAAGACGTGTTTGTCGGTGTCCCCAGCCTGGCAGGGTACTTGCTGGGTTTAACACAGCTGGAGGACGTGTACATGGGGAGGGTCGTCCATCAAGCAGCTCCTGACAGAGACCCTGCAAGCCCTGGCTTTGTTCCCACCCATCGATACGCCGAGGAGTTTTACCCCGATTACTGCGAAGGGAGCGCTTTTGTCGTGTCCCAGGACGTGGCCCGCAAGGTCTACGTGGCATCAAAGGAGGTGCCACTTTCCGTGCCCCCCGATGCCTTCGTTGGAATCTGTGCTAAGAGAGCTGGCATCACTCCCATCCACAGCTCTCGGTTTTCCGGGGAAAAGCACATCAGCTACAATCGATGCTGCTATAAATTCATTTTCACCTCTTCCGACATGAGAGAGGACGAGTTATTTAAAGACTGGAAGGAAACAAGCACTGGCAAAGACTGCTCGTTACTGGAAACTTACTACGGGCTGGTGTCCTGCAGGGTTTTGACCTATATTGATAAGTTCAAACACTTTAACTTCGATAGAATTAAAAACGAGGTTTTTCATTTTGCTGATTAAGATCTTAGCTTTTGTAGAGAAAGCCTGAATTTTCTTGTACCAGCTGTTTTATCCTATTAATATTCAGTAATAACAATCTCTTCAACAGCAAACGGATCCTCAATGCTATAGTGTGTCACAGCAGAACTGGATGTCCCCTGGCTCCACAAGTACCTCCAAGTGCATGCATGCAGGTTAACAAAAAAAAAAAAAAGTATTCCAATAAACTTTGCCTGTATCCAGTGTTTTCTACACTTTTGAAGTCCTCTACCTCACGCCAAAACTCCTATTTTTTTTATCCAAGTGAAACATCACCTACTTCCAAAGGGGAATCCTTCTGTCCACAAAAGGGAGCCTCTTCTGAGTGGCCTTTTCTATGGAAGAGTGAAGCCACAGCACAGCTCGGAGTAGGAACAGACATTGAGTCATCACAGGAACAGCTTCAGAAAACAGCCCAGGGGGATTTCAGACCAGAAACCCAACTCCTCTGCTAAAGAACCTTGTATTTGTCACTCCCAGTATCAGAGAAACACTGCCACGAGCAGCTCAATGCCACAACGTGGTGGAGAACAGGAGTCAGAGCAAATTCACCAGTGACCTGGTAGCACCAGCCTTACTGGGATGGAAGAATTCCCCAAACTGGGAACCAGCCACAGACCACAAGCCCAGCCCTGCCTGCATCCTCCGGATTCACTCCACCTCATCAGCTCTTCCAGCAGCAGGAAGGGGAGCCGCAGGGACTGGCTGAGTTGTGATGGGCACACATGGGAAGAGACACAGAGACACACACAAAGAGAGGGACAGACACCTTCGAGGGTCCAGCTACTCCCCAGCTGTGACAGGAGGAACCGGAGTGTGCTCTGAAGGATCCGCAGTGCCGTGAACCAGGCTCAGATGAGGAGGTTTGGGAGTTTGTTTGGGTTTCTGGCTTTTTGTTCTTTTTTTTTTAAACTAAGTTCATAAAGTTTAGCACTTTACCTCAACTCTCATTCTCCATCATTCCATTCCATCCTCAATTATCTCCTACTTCACAGGGGAAAGGACAGGGACAACATGTTAAATTGCTCCATTCCATATAAGACACACCAGCAGCAGTGTGTAAACTGTACAGCAAGACAGGGGAGGGGTAGGGAACTGCATGTGAGTAGTAAGGGGTGTCTGATCAGTTAATCAGAATATCGAGCTCAAAGCTCCACAAAATAAATCATATGTGCATATATTAAAAAAAAAAAATCCCTTTGGCATCTCTGTGTGTTCTAAAATATTGTATTTGGCAAATGTACCACACAAAACAGATGCTAAAGACCCAGCACAAAGAGTGGCCTTTAAAAGCAACAGCTGAAAACACACATGGAAGAGACTCATGAATTGCAGAAAAGGTTTATATATTGATTTGACCGAGATTTCAGTACATGGCTCAGAGCTACCAGCACACAAAGCCACCTAAAACAACAAAGCTGAACTGTTCAGCACGAGTGCCAACTAAGGGCTTCTATACTCTTCCTTTTTAGCACTTTTCATGTTTTTTCTGGATGTGGGATTCCCGAAGCTTCCGTGCTCCCTCTGTTCACAAATGAGACACAAAAATGCACTGCCTTTCTCACTGGCAGATGTTTATTACACACATCTAGGACAAAAGCATCAGCAGCAGTGTAATGTTGGACAACAACTTTTGTACACATCAGCTCATAAGCAGCGAGGCAGATCACCTGCACTCAGACAGGTTATTGAACACCAAGGGATCTTCCCAGCCACCCGGCTCCTCTGAGCCCACTTTGACTCCCAACCAGCAATTTTTGGCAACACCATCACCTCTGCGGGGCCACAGAGCCAGTACCTTCCATAGAGGTATTCCTGACTTGACACACTACTAAAATAAGCCCAGAAGTAGTAATTCCATGGTTTATTATGCTCCCCCCCCACCTCCAGCTATTCCTCAGATTTGTTTCTTACACCCCCAACAAAAACAGTATAAACCTTTTGTATAAAGCACATTGTAATTGTTTATGGACAGACACATCCCGTGTCACTCGGGTGCCCAGCTGGTCTGGCACCTCACCCGCTGGGATGCTGAGCATCTTCAAAAGAAGATTACAACTTTGGAAGGTACCACATTCCATACTCCTACTTTAGCTCGTGCCCTTAAACATGAAAGCTTTACGTTCTTGCCTCTTTTATCCTAACTCAGGCAACTAAAATCATACGTTTTTTAAATAACACTTAAAATTAAAAAAAATTATCTTAAAAAATAGTGTAAACAATTTAAGATTTGGTTCTGAAGTAGACTCGTAGTGCTGTAGCTCATGCTCCTTTTGAGGACGCAAAGTGAGCTGTCATACAAAGTCGCAGTCAACAAGGGAGACAGAGCTCCCAATTCGGTTCTATACATGAGAGCCAGCATTTCTTTGTTTTTAAAAGGGCTAAAAGCTTATTTTCATCCTTAGCATAAAATGTAAACAATATTTAGGACTATTTATTCAAGCAAGATCTACATCCAGCAAGTTGAAAATAGAAGAGAACCCAGTTTTTACTCCCTCGTGTGGGCAGAATGTTACTACCTTATTCTTACCAACAGGGTTTTTGGCAGAACGTGATGGGCTAAGAGAGCACATTCCAAGCAAGTGCCAAGTTTGGCAAATACAAGAAAAGAAAAAAATTAAAATAGAGAAACTATGGCAGCTTCTGAGGTTACAAACCTCAAGGTGTTCCGGTATTTGTTTTGTTTTGTTTTTTTAATTGAACTGTGATCTACTGAGGAAAATACCACAGGAACTCCAAACCCAAGAACAGTTTAACTAAACACTGATTAATCTCTGCAAAATATAAGACAGGCAGCAGCTGACAGAGTGCTTACTTTGGCGACTTGTCTCACCATACACAGAACTTCTGCCACGACATTCTAGGGGAGAATTATGCTGTGCCCTATAGGTTTTGATTTGCTCTCATCACCCTCATTTCAAACAGAGCCGAAGTGCTTCACCTTCCTTTAAAGAGACAATCTCAAGAGACTCCAGCAGGGAGAGTCGTGACACCTTAAATCTTAACACCTATTTCAGTAACGTGGTTTGCAAGAAGGGGAACCAAGACACCAATGACATCACTCTGCTCCTTCCACGGCTGTAGTAGAAACTGCCTTCACGTAATAAGGGCCTTCACGCAAGTAAGCCCTAAGCCTCAAGTAATACTGGTTTCCAAAGATTTCTGCAATTGTTTTAGAGTTTACAAGGGCCTTAACCAGTTCGTATTTGGCATCCTTCGAAGCTTTGTCAGGCTCCACAGATCTGTCCACAACGTACTCCACAAACCCCGGCGTGCCGAGCATCAACTTCTGGGCCCATGGTTGATTTGCAATAGCCTAAACGTGAAGACAAAAAGAGGGGAAAGAGGGAAATACTTCATTTTAAAAATCAAAAAAAAAACAGTTACAGAGTTTTGCAAACAGCCAAGGAATAGAAAAAATGAAATAGGATATTCATTCTACTCAGTAGTTACACAAGCCCCACTCAAATCAAGTGGCAGGTTTAACACTGGAAAACAAGTGCAGCTCAGTGCTTATCTTTAAAGTTTAAGTGAATTATCACAGCAGTGCTTCTGATATCGAAACAGCACCCTAAGCAGAGCTGATACTTTTTTTTTTTCCTCTCCAACTTATAAGAAAACAAGCATTACAGACATGACGCGTCTGCTGTGTTATTTATAAAGTGAATGCAAGTGGGGCACAATGAAAAAGACCTTATTTCTGACCACTTCAGGGCTTCAACAAGAAGGCTGTGGCACACACTTAAAAATCTGAGATTAAATGGCAATACAATTCACTACCTGATCTTTAAAACCAAAAAGCACTTACAGTGAACACCTGCAGAGCCCCACAGTGGAGATCAGGGAAGGGCTGGGTGCTGATGCTCCTGAAGAGCTCCAAGGGCTGGCTGGACAAGGATGTGAACCATGATTCAGTCATTCTTAAAAGATCCTCTGTCTGCTGCTCTGGCTAGACACGTCAGAGAAATGTGCAGAAATAAAAGAGTTTGATAAGGATCACAGAAAGCTTTCAAGTTTTGAGTGTATGTCCAATAGCAAAGGAAGTTTTTTAAAAACAAACCACCAGGAGATTAAACTGAAATAGTTTAGATTTTCAACTTATTTTCATGAATGAAGAAATGGCCGCCTATATTTCATTTAGCTTGGAGGACAGATTTAAATAAATTGATTTTGACACACGAGGTAAGTGCTGTGCTGGAGTGCAGTCTTGCAAGACAAATGGAAACGGCTCACTCGCTCATTTAGAGCTACACTATTAAAATCACATCTAAAGAACAAACACAGGGACTACAGCAGTTTCCCACCAGCTCTTTAAGCACAAGAATATCAAGCTGTTTCCTCTCATTCCCTTGTCAATGAGGTCTGGGCTTCATGATTTATAAACAGATTTCAGAACACCTGGCTTCTTACAAACAAACTCAAACTTTAAGCAAACAAATAAACCAGGGAATTTCAAAACAGTAAAGTTAATGACTCAGAATACTAGAAAACTACCACTTCTACCTAAGCTAGATGCTGCAAAAGGGCTTCACACAGTAATTTAATTCTTGTAGATTAAAAAAAAAAAAAAAAGACAGACAACAAACTAAATCACAAAAACTTACAGGCAAGTAAAGAAGAGATGAAATTGCATCCAAGCATCGAAGTCGTAACTCCGTGGGGGCATTCTTGGCCTGGTGCCCTATTCTGTTTAACAAATTTTGAAATCTAGTTCCTTTGAAAATAAAAACAAATTGCTTTTAATTAATTGAGACAGACCTCTACAGGAGTACAGAGTTGCCCACGACTCACACTGTACTACATTAACTGGTCAAAAGTGTTGTACATTAAAGACAGACAACAAACTAAATCACAAAAACTTACAGGCAAGTAAAGAAGAGATGAAATTGCATCCAAGCATCGAAGTCGTAACTCCGTGGGGGCATTCTTGGCCTGGTGCCCTATTCTGTTTAACAAATTTTGAAATCTAGTTCCTTTGAAAA